TGGCAGGCCCCGATCCAGTGATTGGGGGCAACTCCTGCATTGAGCGTCTGCTTCCTGATGGTCATAGCAACCGGTGGTTTCGTTGTCTGGTCGATTTGCATATTACGCTTTTATATATAGATTACTTGTGAGGGATTTAAGCCACTAGCTTTTATATATAGATTACTTGTGAGGGATTTAAGCCACTAGAAAACTCTAGGGATTTAAGCAACTAGAAAACTCTACTGCTTCCTAAGCCTGGGAGTAACAGTTTCTTCAAGGCATTTTTGACATACTTCCTACTAAAAAAATTTTTTTAATTAAATTTTTAAAAAATAAAAGGCCAAAAGGTATAACCTGAATTCAATCAATCGAAGAAGAGTTTGCAAAATAATAATGGGAGAGGTCTCCCTTTTCTCATTATTTCTGCCCAATTTCAGCTCTCACATGGCTAACAGAAGATTCACCACTGCTTAACCTTAAAGTAAATAAGCACATTTTACCTTCTGAGAGGAAAATGGAAACACTGTCATCTTCTCCAATTAGACTTTCATCACATAAATTTTTACCCTACATAGATACAGACTATGTAAATACAAACTATGCTGAATAAATAATTGAGAACCATAAAGCTACAAGAACATTAAAAATTATCTACTATACCTGCCTGTACAGAATGAAATATGATTACTTTGAAATATTCCTAGACCAGTAGAAATCAATACCACTCATATTTGGGTAGGAGCTGCACAATCTTTTAAATTTGACTTAAGTTCTATTTGTCTGCTGAAACACACACAACGCAATAAAAGTTGAGGGGGTTGGAAAGGAGGGAAAAGTGGGGAGGATGGAGCAGAGAGGGGTGGAAGTGAGTGCACACATGTATGCACACACATATTTAAGCTTTTAAACTGCCAATATCTTCGGCATACATCTTTACTTTAGGAAGACAAAAGAAACTATCAACGTTTGCCAACTTATCCATAAGTTCAAGACAGGAGCTTGAAAGATTGACCAAAAAAAAATAATAATCTGAATGGTGAGGAATTGCTCATTTTAAAATGTTCTTAATTTCCTCAAAACACATTTTCCAAAAACTATGCTGAGATTTTGTAGGTACAAAATGATAGCATTATATTTTCTCTTACTCCATTATTTCATTAGAGAGGTAGAGAAACAGGGAGGTGAGAAAGAAAAATCCATAATCCAAACCAACAACCATGCAAACCTCAAGAGGTATTCCAAGTCTCTAGTGGCAGCTGAAAGAGAGAAATAAAAGCCACACCACACCACCTGTCTGCTCCCTATCAAGTGTATACCAAGGGAGGGGTCATGGGAGGGGCCGAATACCTGTGGCTGGAAAGCTTATCTATCTTGTTTATAAAGTCACCCACACAGCAGCAAGCAGCACAGAACTAGAGGTTGTGTTGACCCTTCTTTGATGTTAGCCCCTAACTAGAGGCAAAAGACCGAAAAAAGGAGGGGAGAGGGAGAAATACAGGAAAGGGAGGGGAGAGAGGAAAAAAAGTGGGAACAGAGGGAGAGAGGTTTTCTTTTGAGGCCTCTCTCCTGCCTCCTCGTCCCCACCTGAACTCAGGCTTGCCCTTCCTGGCACTTCCTGTAGGGCAGCTGTACACTGTGGGGCACTTACCTTTATGGGCATGTCTTACTGCCTTCCTACATGGCAAACAAGCTTTCCAGTATTCATATATCCCTTTGGCAGCCCTCATCGGTGCCACTAGGTCAGTCTTTTGTGCTGGCGGCTGCAATGACGGCCCTGACAGGAAAGAACTTTTAATATCTTCCCCAGTACTGAGCCACAAGAAACGACGAGTGCTCCCAGGCACAACTCCCCTGGCTCTGCTCCTCAAAATGCTCTCGCAAGTACATCGTTGCTTAGCAATATTTGCCTTCCCCCTGTACATTTGAAAGTGGCAACATCTGTCCCTTTGGCAGTTTTGACTTGTGCAAAGACCATGCTCGTAGTTTAAAAACATACAGCTTTAAGAAATAGGCAATCCTTCACTCTTCCTTCTCCCTGCAAAACTCCAAAATGGTTTAATCTTTGCTTATACAGGTTGATATAAAAATCTACAGGATTTAAGACAGCTGATAGTACATAAGCAAAATATTTCAGCCACCAGTGGGAGTTCCTATTAAACCCCACCTAATAAGTAGTGTGTCTGCACAATTATACCTGAACTAAAAACCCCATTTAGTTTACAATTTTCTACATAACTAGTTGTATCACTAGGTATTATGCGTAAATACATATAAGCAAGACAAAATATAAAGGCAACTTATTCATTAGATAGGTAAAGGAATTTTCATGCTCACATTATATAGCCCAACCTCATAACCACGCACGCACACACACATTGATCAATGGCAAAGGAACCTAAAAAAATCTAGAAGGGAAAAAAGTTTATTTAGGTAATTGCACCTCTGGCCAGTGTGGCTCAAAAGTTTGCCAGTTTGATTCCGTCAGGGCACATGCCCGGGTTGGAGGCTTGATCTCCACTAGGGGGCATGTAGGAGGCAGCCCATAGATATTTCACTCTCGTATCAATGATTTTTGCTCTTGCACTAATGTTTCTCTCTCTCCCTCAACCTTTCTCTCTTGCTCTAAAAAAAAAACAAAAACAAACCATATCAATTTAAAAAAAATTTTTTAAAGAAATTGCAACATTGTGAATTTTAAAACAAATGATCTTAAGTTTTCTACGTTTTTAAATTATCCCTCACTATAGTCATCTTGGTATTTTCCTGAGGTTACTCATTAACACTAAAGCAGTTCCTAATACTGTAATTTTATGCATAAGAAAAAAACCTAACATAAAAAAATAAAAATGTTTTATGGGTAGTTATGTTCTCCATGTAATTACTTTTTATCTAGCACATCAACGGGAAATAAACATCAGAGTCATAAAAAGCGTAACAGTCAACGAAGTACTGAACAACACTCAATGCATTCAAACTTTACTATGCAGATATTTTTGTTCTTTTGGACCAAACCAATTTTGACATATTAGAAACACATGTTTTCAAAGACATTCTATAGCAGCCGTGGGCAAACTACGGCCCGCGGGCCGGATTCGGCCCGTTTGAAATGAATAAAACTATTGGAAAAAAAAGACCATACCCTTTTATGTAACGATGTTTACTTTGAATTTATATTAGTTCACACAAGCACTCCATCCATGCTTTTGTTCCGGCCCTCCGGTCCAGTTTAAGAACCCATTGTGGCCCTCCAGTCAAAAAGTTTGCCCACCCCTGTTCTATAGGAAGTGAGTTCCAGCTCCAAAGGCAAGGCTGACCTATTGCTTTCATCAATTCTCTACCTAGAGCTTAGAGAAGCATAAAAGACTGGGTGATACTTATGACCACTAAAAATACACCCAAAAGGTCCTTGACTCTGAGGGTTTATTAACAGCCCTCAAAGCCTACAGCATGCATGGATTTGGAATCCTGCTTAGCCACAAATGTGAATTCAATACCCTAGGACCCACTTCTCACTGTAGTTCAGCACTTGCTATTTGCCCAGAAGCACACAGTAGTGCTTGTGAAGTATAAGCTTTCCATTGGAGTTTATGGAAGAAACTTGAGCATACTTTGCAAATTGGGGGATTCTCAAAAATCTCAGATGTTCCTCCAAGTCATCCCCAGTGGTTCTGGCCTTACAGGGTAGTACTTATGAGCTAGCTAGGTTCTGAGTCAGACACATGAGCTTCAAGACTTGGCTCTGCCAGGCACCAACTATTAAGCTCACTGCATGGAAAAGGCTTAAGCTCAGTGCCAGACTTGGTGAAAGCAACAGGTACACAGTACATGCTCAATGAAATATAGAGATCACTTTTATTATTATACTATCCTACCATGACACACAAAGTCTCCAACTCCGCCTGCTGCCCCCCGCCTTTCTTCCATTCTCAATTTTCCCACTTCTCCACATCATCACTCAAATACAACTTTTACTTAACGACTGTCTATTAAAATTTCCTCTGGATGGGGAAGGGAATGCTGAAGGAATGGAGGACAATGGATTTCATACCTTTGAATAACTGTATAGTGCGCGCATCCTTGTTTGCACTTCCCTTTGATTTACCCTGAAACAGCTAATGTCTCTCCAGCCCTGAAGAAGCCATCACCTTACTGAATATTGGTGGCTGAAATATGTTTCCAATGAATTCTGAACTAATTAATGTAGGGAATTGTCGAGGCTGGAATCCTGGGCCCTGGGGACTAGGAGGATGAAAGGAGCTGGACAGGGGCTATGGTGCTGTCCACCAGGCCAGTGCTGATAAGCCTGGAGGGTTCTATCCTACATGAACCCCCCATGCTAAGCCTTATGACAAAAAGAAGAGCAAAAAGCTTCCCTTGAGAAGAGTCACATAGCTAAGAGGGGAAAGCAAAACCTGTCATTTCAACACTGCCCTTCTCCATAAGTATTCCTGTAGAGTCTACAGCAGTGATTTTCAACCTGTGGGCCACAAGAATTTTTAAAAATGCAATACCTAACTAGTCAGGGGCACTGACCTTTTTGCCCTTAGATTGTCATATTAAAAAATGACAACAACTAATACAATAGCTGTCCAGTGTGAACGGTTCAAAATCATACCTATTTTTCGGTCAGATCAGCAAAAAATTTATTTTCTGGTGTTCCACAGAATTTTACTTAGTTTATGTATGTCATGAGTTGAAAAAGGTTAAAAATCACTGGTCTACAGGGCAATGATGGTCCACTAGATAGCCAAACCCCAGTGGGTTTAGTTAATCAACTACTAGAGCAATATTGAAAATTTCTCCATTCTGAGGCTTCTGGTATAAAACCTGCCCTTAAGGATGAATGCCATGAGCTATCCCACAGTGCTAATCAATAAATAATCATTAGGTCTACAAGCACAGAAAATAAAGCACAGGCTGTAAACTCTTATCTAAATCAGCTACATCTTAACATTACCATATAGTAATACTCTACCCTATTCTGATATTCTTGGGGGAGAGAGAGAGATCTATAACCCCTGCACTGTTTTCTTCTCTGAAAATGCTCAAAGAGAGTCCAACCCAAGTCTCCTTCAAATCCTGCACACCACATAACTTGCAGAACAACCTGCTGGCACAGTCAGAAATAAATTTCAAAAGTGGTATTACTGTAAGAGCCTTCTAAAAGATATTCCTCACTTCAGAGAACTTTCTACAGTATGGTATTTGCAGTACTAGTAGCAGTAGAAGCTGTCAGTATTAAAAACGTATATTAAGAACAGTTGGCTGGAGGAGGTAGGGATAAGGGAAAGAAAACAATGGACGAATTTAGTTCTGAACCGAGGAAAGTTCTTCAAACATGAAGTCCTTCATTAGTGAAGGCAAGTTAAAGTTTTAAGTCACCTCTATGCTTCAAGTTTTTCTTTCTTCTGTGACACTGCTCCATCTCCAAATAAACTTTAAATTTATGTATTTTTCCTAAATCACATTAAGTTACATAAAAACTAATGCCCCTATACTCTTGAAAGTTCACATACTAATCAATACTCTTTGAACCCAAACCTAAATAGGATAGCTGAGTCTCCTACCTCAAAAAATCATCCTGCTTTATTAGTTTATACAAGTGTCACCATCCATCCCCTCTATCAGGTTCAGGAAACCTTCACAAATTACATGCAAATATGTCTACTCATGCCTATCTTTAGTGGATTTGTAACCAGACCACAAATTAATGCTATATGATTGCGGTTGAGAACCACCTTTTTTTTCCCTTCCCCATTTTGTGTCATGATGCCCAAATGCAATTGAAAGCTGGAACTAGCTAGCCCCATGTAGTTCTCAGACCAATTAATATAATTCTAGAACCCTGAAAATATAGTAGGTACTCAATACTTTATTAGTGGTACAGAATATTTATTCAAATCTCTTGTTTTAAAAGCCATCATGTTTTAAAATTTGAGTGAAATTAAACCCACGATACAGAAATTCATGACTTTACCAAAACAACTGAGAAACACCATCAAACCAACCCAGAACATTAGGACACTTCTTAGTATCCTAGTGACATCTAAATATAGGGGGTAAAGTGAGTCAAGACAACTTGAAGACATACAAATTTCCTATAATGTGAATTTGCTCTCACTGTCATGCATGTCAAGGGAAGGTGGGGCATCCCACCATCTACTATATACTAGGCAAAGAGAACCCACTTCATTGTCCCATTTAAAGGTGGAGAAAAATGAACCCAGGTATTCTGACTCCACAGTATTTTCCATTAAGAACATTACCTCCCACTTACATTTCTTTAAAGCCTTCACATTCAAATCTAGTAAAACTACCTAAATTTTATGTTCTGAGCCAAGGGAAAAAGGTGAATCTATGACATCTACTCATACATTTATGTTTTTTAAATTGATTTTTTTAAGAGAGATGAAGGGAGAGGGAAAAAGGGAGGGAAACATCTATGTGAGAGGAAAATATCAATCAATTGCCTCCTGTACACAACCCTGACTAGGGATAGAATATGCAACCTGGGTATGTGTCCAAACCAGCAACCTTTTGGCGCATGGGACGATTCCTTCCCTCCAACAATATCCAAACAGTTTTCAGCGGTCCAGACATTCTATTACATACTTATTATTCATCCCTAGTTGTAAATAAGTACTAGCACATTAAAATTCTCAGCAATGACAGTATCAGAGGGGAAAAAATTACATCCAACGAGAAAAATAGTTTGGAAATTCTCCAAAACAGTCATACTCATACCCTACTAAGTTATGACAAAACGACATTGAAAAAAATGACATTATTCGAGGGCCTGCTGTAGTTGAGGGCCTTTATGTTGCTAAGATCAAAGAAAGGAAAGCAGCTCTTGTTTGCTGAATGGGCACTGAAAACCAACTTCCTACTATTTGCTATAAAAACAAGAAAAGTGGTTTAGAACAAAAGGTATTAAAAGGTATGCTACTGGACTTGGGTATAGGAAACAATATCAAAGTCCAGTTACCAGAATTAGAACTCCTTTTTAGAAAAGAACCATATTTTAGAGCTGAAGAGAGTAGGATTGACTATCCACCTCCTTCTCACACATATAAGAAAACTAACCGAGCACATTTCCACTTGGTGACAAGAGGTCAAAATGCATGTTCCATGGTTTTAGGTAGTGGCAAAACCTGAAAACCAAAAAGTTGTTGTGGGGTTTTTCTTTAACTAAAATATGAACGAGTGCCTGAATCACATACATATAAAGGCTTATAGAAAAACATCATATTTGGAAATAAGGGCAAAAGATAAAAAAGCCAAGTAGGACCTACTTTACATAATTTCTTTAAAAATTAATCACTTTTTACTCTAACTAGATATCATTAAGCACCCTTGGTTATAAATCCTTCTGAAAAGAAATATCTTTGGTATGTTTGGTTCTCATCCCTTGGACTTGCCCAAAGGAAGGAATAAACACAAGGTTATAGAAACTCACAGATTATTCATAGGACGAGAACACCCCAACACCTACAGGACTCAAGCAGGGAATATGAAAGGCCCAGTAAGGACAGGGGCAAGCCAGAGTGTGTGCCCTAAGAGTTCAGACAATAGCTTCCAGGTTTTTAAGAAAGAAAAATAAATAAAACAAAAATCCAGATTTCAATGTGAAATCTAGCACTTTCAGATGCTGGCAATTAAATCAACACACTGTACATGCCACAGCCCCTCTGTGGGTGAGCACTCTCCAATGCTGGCCTTCATGCTTTCTTCTCTCCCAAACGGAGGAACGGGGAAATGAGAGACTGGGAAGCATGCTCATTCTGGAGAGAAAAGTCTCTTTTTAAAGCTAAACATAGCCCCATGTATACATATGTATATCTTCTGTTGCCTCAGAGAGATTCTAAAAAGGCCTTTGGCCTTCGGAGGAGGGGAGGAGGGGTGTAAAGTACGAGGCAGCCTCTGCTGCACTGTGATGTCTCCTCTTTACTGCACCAGCTCCTGCCAAAGCCTACTTCAGCGATTGGCAAACACAGACTGACAGATCACTAAAAACATGAACCAAGTAAGCAAAACAAACCACAGTGTAGTTATTTTACATGACTTGCATGGAATAAATCTGTGAACTGTAGGTGAGTCATAACATAATAAAGGGCCCAATTAGATTCAGAACAACACACCAGTGTTTTCCCTCCACTTAGCAACTAGTTCAATGGGATCTTGAGAGAATATAAGGCCCATAAAGGACTCTGGTGTCTCTGTTTTACCCTTTACTGGAAGACAATTAATCTCACTAAAAATTAAACCCAGGCTGCCAGACGGGCATTTTTCAGGGTCAATAATTCTTAAGCTACTAGGATACCAATTAATGATACCCAAGTGGTCTAGAAGAGTTAATGCCCCTATGCCAAATGATTGGCTCATTCTCCCAACATGATTCATTCAATGGCAGAATGTTTAAAATTGAGAATCCTTTGAGATTAACATCAATTTTATTATATGTACCACTTAATATTAATAAGCCCCAAGATTTACTACAGGAAATCTGGTATCTTATTTAATACAGAGGAAAGCATCTTATTTCTTAGTCATAAAACAATCTGATTAATCTCCAAACTCAATACTGAAAATCACAGCAATTATGAGGCTGGAGCTCCACTAAGAATGTCTACTGATCAGATTAGGCTGCTTATTTTAAAACCCACAAGCAACAATGCCTAAAATGACCTGGGAAACACTTAGGCTGGAAATGGTAAGCCAAACAATTCCTTCAAAAAACTGTTGAACTTAAGGCCTGCTTCCCATCCAAGTGTCCTAAGTAGGAAATTCAGTCCTGTATCAGAATGATTTCCCCCCTGCTCTGACGAACATTGGTAAGAGGCTATCTTGCAGACTCCAGACCAAAGTGGATTGTGAAAGAACTCCTGGAGCTGAACTGGGCAGGAAAGCCTGTTCTGCCCAGTCCTCACTTTGCTACAGGAAACAAGCATTATGAGACAAAGGATCCTGCCCTCAAAATGTTACCACCTGGAGAAAGACACAGAGGATGATACCAAGGGGGAGTGCTGAGATAGAGGTCTGGACACCGTGAGTAAGTCAGCTCTAAAAGCCTGTGTGGCTACAGCTGGGGCTGGGAAACTTCAAAAAGGGGCTGGGACTGCAGCAGGAGGGCCACACCCAAGCCTGGAGACAGGCAAGAATCTCATCAAGAAGGCATTGGCCCTGGCTGGTGTGGTTCAACAGGCTGGAGCATCATCCGTACACCAAACCAAAAGGTGTCGGGTTAGATATTGATCCCCTGTTGGGACACGCGCAGGAGGCAACAGAATGATGTTTCTCTCTCCCTCTCAAAAAAATAAAAAAAGGCAACTGGAGCTAATCTGGAGTTTTATCCTGAAGGTCATTAAAAGGTGCTCAAGGATCTTAAACAGGATAACTTGATTAGGTTTTCACACAATAAAAATCACTCCTTTGTGAAACAGAGTGGTAGATCTGTTCCACAAAAGGGAGGAAGACAGGTTAGAAAGAAGTGGTAATAATTTAAGAAAGTGATAAAAATCTGAACTAAAGAAGGGGCAGTAAGGAAGAGAAAAGGAGAAGCTTTCAATAGATGCTTACCAAGTAATCTCCACAGGATAGGGTTACCAAATGGATAAAGTGGAAGACAGAAAGGAATTGATGCCCATGATCAGGAAGAATATTCTGTGTGAAGAGGTACAGGAGAAGGCAAACATAATTAAATCTACTGTAGGCAGGTTGAATTTGAGTTCCTGTGCAACATCTACAGCGGGGCCTTGACTTACGAGTTTAATTCGTTCCGTGATGGAGCTCATAACTCAAATTACTCACTGGTCAACTCTTAAAGTGAACGAGTGAGACACGTGATGCTGGGCTGATGTTGTGGCGTTCACTGTGACGTTCGCTGGGCCAACTAGCGGTGGGGTATCTGAAGCTGGCTCGTAACCTGAATTTTAGCTCGCAACTCAAAGCAAAAATCGACCGAGAGACGGCTCTTATCTCGAAAAACTCATTAGTCGGGACACTAGTAAGTCAAGGCCCCACTGTACAAGAAAAGTCCAGTAGGCAGTTGGATAAAAGGATCTAGAGCTCAGAAAACTTGGGAGTTTTAAGCTAGAAAAATCAATTTGGTGGTCATCAGTTGAAGCCCAAATGCACATGAAATCACCAGGAAAAGCTACAGAAAGAGAAAAGAAGGTTGAAAGCAGAGCCCTGAGGAAAGAGAGGAAGGCAGCCTCCAAAGGAGATTACGACATGTTCCAAATGGTAGGAGAAACCCAGACAACAAAGGAGGGCAGTGTTTAGGGGACGGTGGGCAAAAGTGTCAAATGCCACAGAGGGGTCCAGCAGGTTACTCTCAAGAGCATTTCCTGACTTAGTCCACTGGGGGCCTTGGGGGCTCTGGGGCAGCGCAGTGGGGTGGAGTGGTGGAGGTGCCAGCCAGCCAGCATGGGTTCATTAAGTACATGGAGAGGGGGCAGGCACAGAATGTTTACCTCCTGTCTCCAGAACGCTGGCTGTGAAGGGAGCAAGAAAGATGTGATCAGAGAAAGACAAAGGAGCGAGAGTTTATTCAGCTAGGAAAGGCTGACTCTATGCATGGTTAGACAAAAGCCAAGTGATGGAAGAAAGGTGTAAGGTAACCAAAAATGGTGTGCCTGTGGAAGGGCAGGAGGAAGGGCAGTGCCTTTTCTCAGATCAAAGAGAAAAGGTAAGTGGTGGGTGTAGACTAGAAATTGTGTGTGTGTCATCATACCTGGAGAGAGCTGGAAAGTTACGTGCCTGGTGGCCTCATTCTCTAAAGGATAGAGCAAAGTTAAAGTCCTCAGAGCAGGCCCGTGACCACCATGACCAAAACTGAGTTTTAACCGTCCTCTCATCTGAGTCATTTGTACACCTAACGGCTGCATGATTTATCAGGTGCTGACATGAGGGCAAGGCCATGTAGAAAAACAGAGAGCTCCTGACACTTTACATAAAAGTGTTACACGGGTGCTGAACATACAATACAACATACAGATGACGTGTTATAGAATTGTACACCTGGAACCTATATAATTTTGTTGTAATACTCACTTGAGGATATGTTTGATTTTCAGAGAAAAGGGGGAAAGAGACAAACATCAATGTGAGAGAGAAACAGCAATTGCCTTCCATAGGTGCCCCGACTGGGAATGGAACCTACAACCTTTTTGTATACAGAATAATGCTCTAACCAACTGAGCCACCCACCCAGGGCAAAGTTATATAATTTTATTAATCAATGTCACCCCCCAAAATTAAAAAATTAATAAATAAACGTATTACACAAATGATCATTGCTCCACAGAAACCATTTTTTGTAATAGAAAATGGTATGAGAACTAGCAGCCAAGGGTCCTGGTTTTGTGTCCCATTTCTGCCATTAATAAGCTTAAATCACTAAACTTCTTAAAGACTCAGTTCCATGGCACATAAAATGGTGATTTGTGCCAATTGCCCAGCCTAATGCTCAAGGTTGCTGTGACAATCGAGAGAGAAACAAATAAGCAAGTGCTTTGGAAATTAAACAGGGGTGGGGGAGGCAGTAAAATATTTCCCAGTGCACACGTCTTTATACAGTGAAACATTTCCACCACGGATTGCCAAACTATGAGAATGTGGCTCTTCGGGAGTGAGCTTGCAGCCCCCGTGCCATCAGGCAGGAGTGGGAAGTGGAAACCACTGTGGGGAGTGGTGCCCTCATCCTGGTAAACCAGTTTTTAAAAGCTCGATAACCACTAAGCAAATGCTTTCTTTCCCTGGGCTTTTCATTTGCTTATTTTTAACACATAAAAATCAAATTTTTAGGGCTTTATTCACCTAGAACATCTTAAGTGGGAATTCCTGGTCCCTTATATCTAATCCCACCTGCACTTCTAAAGGATACTCCAATGAACGAGTAAATATATTCAGAATCTCCCTACACCCTCCACATCACTAATTCCTCATTATGATAATCCTCTGTCAAAATCCTACTCTTTTCCTTAAAGCCCAGTTCAAATTTTAACTCTAACCACTCTTACCACCACCTACTGAGCTCTTATGTACAAAGCACTGTTCTAGGCACTTTATATAGAATGCCTCAGTCCAGTAGCCTCACAGACCATATGAATAAACTGACAGCACAGCAAGGTTATTTCCTTGCCCAGGATCTCAGAGTTGTAACACCACAATGTACTGTCTGCCATGAAGCTAACGTAATTTCTCCTTTTTATTAATGACTCTAGTTCAGCCGTGGGCAAACTACGGCCCGCGGGCTGGATCCGGCCCGTTTGAAATGAATAAAACTAAAAAAAAAAAAAGACCGTACCCTTTTATGTAATGATGTTTACTTTGAATTTATATTAGTTCACACAAACACTCCATCCATGCTTTTGTTCCGGCTCTCCGGTCCATTTTAAGAACCCATTGTGGCCCTCGAATCAAAAAGTTTGCCCACCCCTGCTCTAGTTATTGGATAAATTACCCAGTAAACAACTAAAGAACTTCAGGAACTGGCTCCATTTTCACCATGCAGACTCACCTTCCCATTGCTCTGCTCTGCCTCTACCCATCTCCCTGAACTCCTACTAGACTTCTCACCATGTCTTGCCTCCATGTCTCTTCTTTCCCGAATCCTCTCGCCAATATGCAGACACTTCAAAAGAAAACTCTAAAAAAATGTACAGTGTCCTCTTTTGAAAGGCAACATAATGCAGGTGTCACAGTTAAGGGTGTGGACTAGAGCCAGAATACTTGGATCTGGATGCATCCAGCACTTGCAGCCTCAGTAAGCTCGGACAAAAGCTGTAGCTCTGTAAGACTAAGGGATAATCATAGTGCATATCACGTGGGAGGGTTGCGAGGTCAATGAGGTAATACACATGAAGCATGTGGAACAGTTCCCACCAGAAAATGAACAAGAGAACAGTGTGAGCTTTCTATGCTTAATAGTTCCAGACTGATTATACTTTATTTTTTTACATTATGTAATAAATTCATTTTGCAAGTATCTTTCTCTCTCATTAGCACCCTTTATGACTAGTGTATATTCAAATATTTATTGACTGAAAAGGCAGAAACCCAGAATGTAAAAAATGTGAATTTTTCTATGACCGAACTATTCCAGATTAATTGGCAAAAGAATTTTTTTCACCAGTTAATATGTTCTCAAGCATGAAAAATGTTGGAAGAAATTCTAATTACAGCATTAAATTCTATTAAAATATTTTTTTTCTAAAATGCTATAGCAAATATTTGCTTTAGGGTAGAATATTTTAAAAATTAAGCTGTAAGGAAAAGGAGAATCCATAAAGCTTGAGTTTTTAATAATGACTGCAAGAAAGCTGAAAATCATAGAATGCTTTCCTTTCTTAAATCACACAGTTCGATTCAAAGCTTCAAATTCTTGCCAGTAAGAATTTTCAGAGTTCTATTATTTGCAATGTAAACAACACAACAGAAAACCCCTAAGGTGATTTGTCTAAGGGACACAGCTAGAAATAGGACCTCTAATTACTTAAATACTGAGTTCCCTAGATTAAAACATTAAACCTCAAAACCCTTCAGCCAAAGAGATGAAGGAGATTAGAATGGGCTTGACAAATTACCACAAGGTCAGGGGGGAAAAAACGTGGAAAGTAGGCCAAGCTTAAACAGGGAATTAAATAAAGTTCAGGAGAACACTAATGGTGTGTGTGGATGCTGAATCTCTGGGGAGTGAAGAAGGAGGGGAATTGCCAACCTGGTGATTTCAGCAATTAAAGAAAGGAAAAGCATCCATAGAAAAATAGCTGCTCATAAAGTTTTTGGAAAATGTGAACGTGCAGCAAAGTTAACCTTGGAAAATAATGATTTTCAAATAGACCTTGGCAAGTGGAGAGGATACAAGGTCAAAAATAAACTTGTTATGATAACATCAACCAGAATCCTCTCTTAAAAGGAATTCTGCTTCAATATCTCATGAGTATTGGTCACCCCCTACCCAAACAGCAAAAAACCAAACTCAAGTCATCCACAGAACTCCTGGTGGAATATCTGGTTTTCTGTCCCTGAAGATTATCAGTTGGCTCAAAATAAAAAACAATTAATCCAGAGAAGAGCTAAAATGACTGGGGTGGCTACGTGAGAGCCTGGGAGAGTGCACAGCCTGGAAAGATTCTGAAGAGTTGAATGTCTACATCTTGGCAAAGGCACAACGGGAGAGACCCAGGGGGGATCCAATAAACCTCCACAAACATCTCAAGTGTGAAAACAACAAGGCGGAACAGGAATTTCTTATCCTGGTACCAAATGTACTTCTGGCATTTTGAGAAGGAATAGAAAGTAAAACATACAAAGAAAACAGCTCTAAGTAATACCACTCAAAAAAGATTTTCAAGGTTCAATTGTGGGATTTCTTCTTGGGCTACTATAAGCAATTCTATTCTTTGCACTAACTCATTTCTAGCAGTTTTAGAGCTTTTTAAAATATATATATATATTGCCTATGATATTTAATATGTTTCCTTCAGAGTTTAAAGTATTTCTGCAAACTCAAAAAACTGCCAGGATTTGACTTGGCCAGTTGGCTCAGCTGGTTGGAGTGTTGTCCAGTACCCCAAAAGGTTGTGGGTTTGATCCCAGTCATCAGGGTATGTACTGGAGGCAACTCTCATATCCATGTTTCTCTCTTTTCCCCCTTCCTCTCTCTCTAAAAAAAATCAATGAAAACATAACCTCCAATGAGGAATTTAAAAAAAAAAAGTTTGCCAGGATTAGGAAATAAAAGGTGGCAGTTTCTACTCAGCTCCAGCTGGTGAAACTGAAAATTTTATTTTTCAGCAAAATTCTCCAGTTTGTAAATATTGGCTCAAGGGAGTGGGGAGCAGGGCATACTATATAGGCAAAACAAAGGTGCCAACAAGCCCAATCTAGCCTTCTGGCTGTTTGAAGCTTCTGCAATAAATTCTCACTTGCTACTACTACTTTTTAACCTCTATATTTACATATTTAGGGTCAAAAATTTAGCCAACCTCTAAGCAAATACAAACTACTTACTATTCAATATTTCTCATAGATTCGAAGTATTCTGCTCTAGTCACTCAGCTTCAGCTAATTGAGTACACAAATAACCTTGCTATAATTTTCCTAACAAAACATTTAAGTCATGTAGGTCTGGCCAAATTAAGAGCTAGCTCATAGAATCTAATTTAAATTTGCTATTATAATTAATATACTAAAAACATTTTTAGAAAATGGAGGAAAGCTAGACAAGGTTGTATCAGAATCTACTTTCACATGAACATGGAAATATTGGAGGCACAAAAAAGGAAACCATGAACTGTGGAGAAAGAGAAGAGTGTTGTTTGGGTTCCTACTTCCTTGATTTTTTCCCAAAAGCTACTCTCACGTCCTACTTAGGACAAAAGCCCCATCAATTTCGTGCAATCCCATGGCCCGAGGCCCACTCGGAAGACTGGAACCACTGGGAAAGGGGCCCTTATTATCTCATTCCTTGTAGCCTGTTATCAGCTCTTCTGGAAGTTTTATTTCTAGGCTCTAGAACAAATCTCAGGAGAATCAGATACAGAACCCTGAGCCTACCTGTATACCTGCCAAGTCAGTCTCCTAGGGAATTTTTATTTTTTACCAGTTTGTATTTTTAACAGGCTTCCCCAGGTGATTATGATGTGCTGCCAAGTTCCAGAATGAATGCAAAACTTCCCTTTGATCTACAGTACTGGGCTTATAACCCAAGAGGACTTGTTGTAAAGGTATCTGTACATCACATGGACTAAGCCACTGGCACGTACTGTTACCTCTGTTTGCAACACTGATGTTGCTTAACCCCTGCTACGCATGCTATGGTATATTTATGTTCATCTTGAAATCCTACATTGCAAAGATAATAATAGTCAGAGGTGGAGCTTTGGAGAAATGCTTAAAGTTATGAGGATAGAGTCATCCTGATTGGGTTTAGTGCTGTGTAAAAGAAGTTCCAGAGAGATGCCTACCCCTTCTCCCATCTGAAGACACAATGAGAAGGCACCAGCTGAAAACCAGAAAGAGGGTCCCTCAAGAGAACATGGCCATCTGGTGCCTTGATCTTGGACTTCCAGTCTCCACAACTATGAGAAGTAAATTCCATTGTTCATAGCCACCTAGTACATGGTATTTTGTCATAGCACTGCAGGCTATGACAATCCCTCACCTTCATTACTTCTACTCAATGTTCAGGTCTCACTCAAACAGAACTTCCTCAGAGAATTCTCTGAGCTCCTTCATTTAAGTCACAGTACCCTTTATCTTATGTCTATGTAAATTCCTTTATAGTACTTGTCCAAGTGCTCACACATTGATCAGAGCGGTTATTTGAATAATGTCAGTTTCTACCTAGATAGTTAAGGTCCAACAGGACCAGAACCACCTGGTTTGCTCACCACTATACCCCAGTCCCCAGCACTAGGCCTGGCCAACAGTAGGTACTCAAGATATTTGAGTTAAAAGTTGCTGAATTGACGATGTACATGGAAGACAGTGGGCTTCAAACTGTATTTTGAGTGTTTCACCAGCAGGATACACACCACTGACAGACCAAAAGTTAGCTGCCTG